AGTAATGAACGGCTTGCTTGATCCATAATTTAGGATGATCCCCCTCGAACCTAGGGAAATCAAACTTGAGAAGCTTGCTAGTATGGCCGCCCGTAGACCCCCCTAATGAACTAACTCATAATGACCTCCTAGGTGGGGCTGTGGTTGGTGCGGTGGTGGTGGGCGTGGAGGAGGACATGGTAGCAGATGAGGGTGTGGCAGAACCACCTAAGATAACTCACTTCCAGAGGTGCTTGTCTTCCATTAGACACTAAACACCCTAAGAGTGAGCTAATTTAAATAGTTCTGTCGAGCACACCCCATGGGAGAACCCGAAAATCCACATTTTTCAATAGGATCATAAATGAGACAATAAAGCTTACAATATTTTAGCCATTTCTTATATTACTTTCCATGCAACATCAAAATATAATATTTATTATTTATAACAGCGGAATATAACAATGTTATCAGAGTTTCAGCAGAAATAAAATCATTTAATGACAAGTTAAACATTAACATGATGGTCCATTATATACATCATAACATGTTATAAGTTTTTCTATTGTAAAACATTTTGGGTGGAAGTTTCAAATAAACTCTATGTCCGCAATGTTAAGAAAATCCTCGCTGAGCCCACCAGGAGGTTTCCACACACAAGTGTCAGCTCCACATGTTCCTATCACCTGCAATAGGGTAGAACAAACCCTGAGTACTTGATTGTACTCAGTAAGACTTACCCGATAGGAGAAAATTAAAAGATTCCAAGGATATGCAAGGCTATCTGGCTTGTGGGTTATTGCATCTACAGGAAGCATTACTAAGCGTGCATCCTTATATTCAATTTTATTAGCAGTCACCATTAGTCCATTATTTAACCATTCTAGGTAAGCACCTATGCTACTTTCAAGCAGGTGGTAAGCAATCAGAACCATTTTACCATCTTTCATATTCTAGTTTTTACTACGATGCTAGATCGTAGCCAAGTCATATCGTATCACATGGCGATTCATGAACCAATGTATCCCAGCTGGTTACCCCGAAACACATGCCCCGCTTGTACCCCAGGCACAAGCAAGACCAACCCACCACTCTCCTGTCAAGGAATCCAGGTCCCCGTGCAAACTTGGACTCCAAGCCCCCACACCTGAGTCTCGAACTCAGTATGGTGCTTAGACCTCCACCATCCCCACCTCCAATTAGTCGGTCCGGAAAGAGCCAGAACCCATGACAAGAGAGCAATGAGCCTTCCCGCTCTCATAAGAAAGTATGTGTTTAGAATAGTAAGTTTGTGACCCGACTAGAATCTAATGCAACGGACGGTCCTCAATCGACACAGGTGGAACAAGTGCATTCCGAGCCTCGTTTGAATGTCAAACCAAGTTCAGATCCAAAGTACCATTCCACCCGGTCTCCAATTATCATTCATATATATATATATATATATTCCATGTGATAGTAATATAATAACAACAATAATATATTTCCTATCTCTCGCGAGTGACATGCAATCACTCAACTTCTACCGGAGTCTTGTAGCATAGCAATCTATATGATCCTATCATACTAGTAAGACTCATATATATATATATATATATATATATATATATATATATGCAAGTGGGTTTTCATTCAACTCCTTAAAACTTAATGCACAAGCATAAAATAAAGTGCAGAATAATAGGAGTTATGCACCAGGGCTTGCTTGGGTAAGATATAACCAAAAGTTAGCATTCCATCAAGGTGACACGATCATCAAGACACCATCTTTTCTGCTACCTCGGTCGACTCCATGATCCATCGTTGTTCCTATTATGGTATACGTGGATGCAACGCTAGAGACGCAAGTAATCAACATTAACCGCAACTCTTAAATATACGATTACGCTCCGCAAGCTAACGAGCTAGCTTTAATGACTAATGTGCTGGTCTACGTATCCACGTCATTAAGTAAGGCTTTGTCTCCAGAAAAATGTTTTAGTTCTAAAATCCCAAGGTATTTTGGCATTTAATTCATTAAATATACATTTTTGAACTACGGCTCATTTAGCTACATTAGCAAACTAATTATTATGGAGCTACAAAAATTACAGTGAGCACCTAATAATGTTAGGGATTTATTGTGAAAGTTTCAGAGCCAACACTATCACCAATTTATCACAATAATTTCTACAAGTTTATATTTTGACAATATTAAGTATCTCAAATTAATTATATAGCTCCTAAGAATATTATAAAACTATATGAACAAAATATACTAGCAAATAGATCATGATTTTAGAAACTTGACAAAATTGGTTTCACAATTTTTGGTTAACTACACAATTTTATATTGAATTTATAAATTTACCTTAGAAGCTAAATTAGAAAATGCTTTAGAAATAGAAAAGGGTCGGCAGCAACTGATTCGGTCCAACAGCCTAGGCGGCTCACGTGGAAATGGTCGTGCGCATAGCAGGTCGGCCCAACAAGCGGCCCGCGATGGGAAACCCACACGCGCACCTGCATATTTGAAGAACCCCTAGCTTCATAGAATATTGCACGACGTTACGGATCACTATTACACCAGAGAAGAGCTTTGCACTAAGGACCCTGGAAAATGCCGCATTCACCATGGGAAGACCCCTGCTCTACCCCGCGTTCGCCGGCATGACGACCAGCGGCATGGGCGGCTGCGCTGAGCACACGAAGTTCGCTAGGACAGGGGATAAAGAAGCCGACCTGTGCCTACCGCTAAGCGCGCATTCCTAGGTGATGGTTGGGAGCCTAACGGTGACTTCTATTGTGCTGCTCACAGTGGCAGACCAACCACCACGGCAGCACGAGCGTTCCGGTGAGCTAGAGCCACTAACGGACTAAAAGGGTGGTGATTGAGCATCAACAGCATACAACGAACATGATCGAGGTGATGGTTAAGTCGGAGATGGCCCCCGCAGCGCTGGCCATGTGCGCCCGCACCCCACGGCGGCGTGCCGAGCGTGGCACCAGCGTGCCACCGCACCGATGGTGAGCCTCCTAGACAAAACAGCACTAGCACCAAGTGAAGGGGGGTCAATGCGAGTTTGTGGTCTCAAACAATCAAACTTCTATCGCTCTAATCCTACCTCTCTTCCCAGTTCCCGGTCACGGCGGCAACCATGGCCCACGATGGCAAAATGCTCAATTGGCCAGCGATAGCCCTTGGTCGGGGATGGGAAAGATGGATCGCTTGGTGGGCTTCCAGAGCCACCTACTGGCGGAAAGAATCAGGTCGTGGAGGACCGGAGCTTAAGCGGATTGGAGGGCGGCTAGATGAACTCTGGTTGTGCCATGTCATGGAGAAGCACCCGCACGCGGGCGGATGGCTTAAGACAGCCAACTCAGATCTCCTACTGCGACAAGAGCACGTGCACGCGACTGGCGAACAGGAGGCATTGGCGCGACGCGCTTAACTCAGAGTGACCAGACCCAAGCCAGGCTCTCCATGGTGGCTAGTGGGACAAGGCAGGACAGGAGAGTGTCCCATCGCTTCTGTGGTAGAGCCACTGATTCAACACGGCGTTAGGGCTCCAACACATGGACTGCATGATAGGTAGAATGAGGGGCAGAGCGAGCCCCACGTCGACCACGCACTACAGCCGCAACCACATCGTGGACTGACGGCTAGCAGCGCGCCCGCACCACCCACAGCAGCGACCGTGCCCAGGCGGCCAGCCAAACGGGACGACACACATGTAGCAACAGGACTAGCCGCAACCAACCGAGACAGGCCCATGACCGCCACTCTAGCCACAGCATGAGCCCGACACCCACAGTACCTGCGCGCGTGGTGACCGCGGCCATGGAAGCCAATTGCCGAAACGGTGATGAACACGCTTTTTAAAGCGTCACAAAGACCGCTAACGACTCCGGATGTAGTTTGACTAATTTTCCTAACCTAAAGCCAGTAGTATCAACTACCAGGCGAAGCAATCACCAAGGTCAAGGAGCAACTCAAGGAGGAGATGGCTGCATGCTAGCATGGGTTCATCACGCCGAACTCTAGTTCACGAACATTGCACTGGAACGTGATTCACCGCACGTTCTAAGGAGTTTTGGGAAATTTTTAAGGGTTCAAGTTGACATCCAACTCAACTACAACCTACACCTCACCCAAGTGCCAAGTTAGAAGCAACCAATGATACAAGAACATGATTTTAGTGCTTAACCATTTTTGTCAGAATTCAAATGCCAAAATGGCATTGCCTATGGCCATTACAGACTTAGAAAATTTAAAGGCTTGGTTAGAACTAACAACCACTAGCACTCTTGTCATGATTTTTAAAAGGTCTAAACTTTATTAACCTTAACCAACACCTACTTCACGCAATGGTCCATACTTTATACCAACCCATAGGAGCAAGATATTTAAGCACTATTTAACTATTTTGCTCAATATAATTCACCAAAATGGTACTTTAAACATAAATTCAAGTGTTTGCCGACTTAACAAAAAGAGCTTATCTTAACATCAAGTTTGATTTTAGAGCTCCCAAAACACTAGTTAACAACATCTATTTTCCAAAAGTTAAAGTTGCATTGTCATCTACCAAGTTTGTACTTCCAACTTTATTTAAGTGTCACATACATGTTCTATAGTATTTTTGCTTAATAAAAATTGGTTTTAAACCCTAAGTGATATAACATGACTATTGAATCAACTTTCGTTTAGCATTTTTGTTGATCGTTTTGAGTTACGAAAATTTATCTACATGCTTTATCACATGCATTGACACATAAACATGATGCTCATGACATAGTTTAGCAAGTTGTTTAAGCGGTAACACCGAGGGTGTTACAGTGGGGAAGGAGGATGGCAAGGAAATGTACCCTTGCCGGGAGGTGGAATCAGAGTGGTGACCACTCCAAATTCACCTTCCCGGTTCTTGATTTCGACGCGGTGCCCGTTGGGCCGAGTGGCTACGTATCCCGCAGGGGGCGGGGCGCACTGGAAGTCACCGTAGCCGGGTGACTTCAAGTTAGGGCTGAGGACGGGCTTGGCGTCATGGATTGACGTGCTTGGTGACGCTAGGAGCCGACGCCGACTTGCTGGCGGGCGTGGTCATGAACACCCCGAGAGTCACTGACGGGTCGTCCACCATTGAGCGTTCCATGTACTTGGAGATCTTCCCAACTTTGAGCTTCAGGGTTGCGAGCTTGTTGACCTCGATGCAAAGGCCATCAATGACGCCGTCAACTCTAGGGCGCCATTCGTCGAACACCTTGGCTACAGACTCCAAGGCATCCAAACGGGTGGAAGACGACGCCGCGGTGGAATCCAGCTTCCGCTCCAGGCCATCGAAGCGCTTCTCCTGGGCGACAAAACGCTTGTCGAGCTCGGCTAGGAGCGCCTTCTGGTCGAAACCCATAGCAACACGGCTGCATTGGAGATGAGTGTAGCGGTCATGGTCGACGGGGGTAGCGGGCTCAGATCCACGACGCACTCCACAAACCGCGACTCTAGGACCGGAATTACGGAATCCTCGAATCAAGCTACAGCTCACAGACTCAATTTGAGGTTAGACCAACCAAATCCGTTGGAATCAAGCAGTCGATCGGATGTAGTGACTGGCGATCGGAGGAGGCCGAGGAACGGTGTCTCTGATACCACTTGTGAGGGATTGGAGTTGGGGAAGGAGATCGGAAAGAGGATTGGGGAAGAAGAAAGGCGCACGAGGAAGAAGAACAGTGGATACGACGGACGAGTGCTTTAGATTAGGAATAGAGTTTTCTATTATGACAAATCGTGTCCTCCTCAACTAGCTCACGGCTCTCTTAAAGGTACAGAGGCGCTGCCCCTTTCATGCATGCAAGCATACCGTTCAGGCCCATTGCTCGCCGATGTAGCGTCGGTTCTGCTTCTTGGGCCGCCGACTCATGGGCCAAGCTCCAGACGTCCCCTTCCCTTCATCCTAGTCAGCAGGTGGCGCCTGGTTGGGGAGGCTACTGACAACATCTTAATTGTCACCTTCAAAAAAATTTCCAAAAACAACAAAGAATTAGTCGAGGAAGAACAGACTTACAAACATGAAAAAGAAGAACACAGAAGGAAAATTGCAACAGCAAGACCGCAAAAAACACAACGGAACGCTCCTTATAGGGCGTCCGTCTGCCCGGACGGCCCCTGCACTCGCCCACAACCGCCCTCGCCAGCGTCGCCTACGGCCTCCACTCGCGCCCCCGCCGCCCGCCCGCACCACGCACAACGATCCCAACGCGCTAGGCACTCGCTAGCTCGCTCCCAAACTCGTGCCTCCCGTCACAGCCGCGCTCCATCTGCCTGCCCCTGCTGAGGTCCGTGCCGCCGATGAGCTCCACACTGGTGACCTCCGCACCTTCGAGCTCCACGTCGACGAGCCTCAATTCGTCCAAGCAACAACCAGATGCTACGCTGAAAGCGCATGTTGCAATAGTATGTTTCAAGTGTGTCGGATGTTTCAGATGTATGTTGCAACTGTTGTATATCGATGTTGCCAAAGTAGATCGGGATGCTACACATGTTGTAATGGCTATACAAATATGTTTCAAGTGTATGTTCCAAATGTTCCATCTGTTCCAAAAGAATGTTGCAACTGTTTTGTTTGGATGTTGTAAAAGTAGATCTAGATGTTGCATATATATGTATGTTCTAAGCATATGTTTCAAGTGTTTTCAGGTGTTTCATGCGTATGTTTGTAAGTGTTTCATCTGGATATTGCATATGTTTGTAATGGTTTTCAAATATTTTTCAAGCATTTTCACAAGTATTTTAGACACTTGTTTCAAGTGTTTCATCTGTCTTCTTTTGTATGTTGCAACTGTTGCATCTAGATGTTTTAAAAGTAGATCGGGTGTTGCACATGGAAGCGGTCGGCAGCTCGAACGACGTCCAGGACGGCACGGGCTCACTGCTGGTGCGCTCCCTCATGAGTGCGGCGCGCTAGGCGCTCGTTCGCTCCCTATGCGGACAGCGTCCGGACGCTATTGCCCAGATCGAGACGTCCGGACGCTAGCAAGTTGGAAAACTCAAACTCTAGCACAACCGCCGACACAAACTCTAGCACAACCGCCGACACAAACATCTCCTACACTCACATACTACTAAAATTACTCCTAGAGATAAAATCGACGACACCAGTAAGGCCTTGTTTGTTTGAGCTTGAGCTTTTGGTTTTAGCTTTCTGAAAGCTGGCTTTAACTCTCAATTTCTCTATTTTCTTCCTCACAGAGATGGCCTTGATCTTTCCCCATGAAATTTGAAACATTATTTAGGAGTTCATGACATATTTGATGGCTATATATATATTCTTATTTTTATCACATTTTACCTCTTGTTGACTATATGATTGTTTCGTCATACAAATTTGTATCAGAACGTTCTCGTCATAGGTGAGCGGATCCGTGTGAGTGTTGGTTGCTTTCTAGCATTTCTTAAGATTATAAGATGCGATTAGATCCAAAAACACTGCTTCGGTAGATTTCCTATTATCATTTGAATATCCTGCCCGTTCAGCGTCTGGATAAAACGGCCGTGGGATTTTAAAACGTCGTGTGGAACCTGATAGAAACTCACGGTTAATAATTTTGGTTTGGTATGATTTTGGCATGGAATGACTCTGCTTCGGACCGTCAAAATAAATCGTACAGCTGGAGGCCCGGAGTATGACGTCCAATTTCGACTGTCCATATCTTGAGATCGAGAAAAATCTAGGTGTGCTTCGTGTTATTATTGGTTAATAGATGTGTGTGTTGGCAGAGATCAACACTTTGCACCGGCAAAGAAGTCAATGGTTAATTTTTTATACAGAGAGTAGTATAAGTTTGGGGGTGTGGCTAGCGCCCGTAAGTCCGGACGTGCATGCAGCCCGCCTCCGTCCGCTTCACTCCGACTCACACGCGCACCCCGTTCTTGACGCTGCGCCCGTCGTTCCTCGCATCCGGACGACCGCGCAGCCCACCCCCGTCGGTCTCACCCCCACATCGCACGCGTACCCTGCCCCGTCATTGTGCCCCGTTCCTTCCCCTGACCCACTTCTATCTCTTTATCTCCGCATGAGCGGCACCAGGGAGCTGACCCCAGCTCGCTGCGCCCCGTCCACTGGCCCCTGGCTCACCATGCCCCATCCCTTGGCGCCCATCACTCTCCGTGTCTCCGTGAAACACTTGCAACATGAAATACTTGGATGCAGCATACGTCTGACACATATAAAATATTTGAAACATACTGTTACAACATATGTGTGAAACATATGCAACATCTAGATAAAACACCTGCAACATATGTGTGAAATAAATGCAACATTCAGATAAACCACTTGCAACATGTGTGTGAAACATATGCAACGTCCAAATAAAACACTTGCTGTAACATATGCCTGAGATAGATAAAACATTTTGAACAACGCTTGCAACATACCTCTGAAACACTTGCAAAAATATGCAACATGTGCAACATCCCAATCTATTTCTGCAACATCCATATGTAACAATTGAAACATAACTCTAAAACATCTTAAAACACTTGAAACATATATTTGCAACATAGGGGGAAGGCCAGGGCCGGGCGATTCTGGTCGTTGGGGTGGGATCCAGCGACGAGCGGCAGCTGGCAGCGCGCGAGCACCATCAGAAACATCACCAGTGGCGGCGCATGAGCACCACCACCACCACCAGCACCGGCCTTGGCTCGGCTGGACGGGCGGCGTGCGCTACGGGAGGGAGCGGGCAGTGCGGCGCACCGCCAAAGCGAGGAGAGAGGTGCGGGTAGGGCACGCGACGGATGGGAGAGGAGTGAGGAGCGAGCGGCATAGGTGGGGCGCGCGACGGGCAGGAGCGAGGCGCAAGCGAGTGAGCGGTGTAGATGGGGCGCACGAAGGGTGGGAACGAGGAGCAAGCAAGTGAGCGGCGAAGGGTGGGGCGCACGGTAGGAGAAGGCCGCAGCAGTGAGCCCGGACATTATCGATAAGTTTGTGCGACTTGGTCCAAACGTTTCTATAGTTGAGCTGTCTGAACTCGATAGAAGCGTTTGCCAAAATTAATCCTCCGGTCAACATTAGTTGACATTTAGGACGAAGCAAAAGAAATGCTGACGGGAGAAACAAAATGGGGGTTTGTTATAATATTAGAGAGCGAGGGTGCACGTAACGAATGCAACAGCCTGATGAGATCGATCATTAGCCTACAATTTCGTTGGAATATATAGGGAAGCGTGAGCAACAGCCTCTGTTTCTCTGGGGTCACCACCGGCTGTGCTGTCTTCGTCTTAGAGCAAGTATAATAATAGATCCGTAAGCTGACTAAATGTTGAGCGAAGAAGAAATGAGAGGAGAAATAAGACATGCATGTTGTAAGCTTACAGTCGACTTAGACACAAAAATCAACAAACTTTACGAGAGAGACATGTGGATCATGTGTTAATAATGAAAAATTAACTACTACATGGATGGGTTGAGAAAAGGCTACACAAACCTTACAACCAGCAAGCCGGCTATATTATTAGCCTTGCTCTTATTATGTAGTAGAGTACTCCCTCTATTCCATAAAGAGGGTTATTATAGGATGCGTGTAGGTCAAATTTTCTTAACTTTAACTATGTTTGTAAAAAAAACGTACAACATTTATATCTTCAAATAAGTTTATTAGAAAAGTATATTCAACGAACTATCTAATGATATTAATTATATATTATAAATATTAATATTTTTTATATAATTAGTTAAAGTTAAAATATATTGACTTCTCAAAAAACGAGAACGACATTATTTTTTTTTTGACAGAGGTAGTATAAAAGAAGCTGCTGGGTTTGCTTCGCCGTCCGCAGAAGCACCGAAGGCACTTTGAGGCAAATGATACGACCAACCCAGCAAGCAGCAGCAACAATATGCGTCGAGATCACATGTCAATTAGTCCTGTTCGGCTTGATTCTCCGCTGCAATTATAAGGCCGTTTGATGCTACACCCCTTTTCTTCATTATTACTAGTCCAAATCGAAACGCATCAAAAAAAGTTGGATCTATATATTCCTCCTCTCTCTGGTTGGCGCAAATCGAAAGCAATGTTTCGTACACATCTCAGCGACAGTCACAGCTTGCCCAGATATTTCGACGGCCGTTTCCAAGATTTTGGAGGCAAGCAACTCTGTTTTGTCCCATCTCTTTTTATAACCCAGGTTCCTGATTTCTATATTTGTTCTAAAATCAGTTAGTTAATCTTAAAAAACCTTGACTTTATTTGTTCAGAAGTTGATTTATTCAGAAACGAAGAAAGTAACCCTACATCATATAAGAGGTTAACTTTGGTGTAGAAAGGTAATCCTACCTGCGGGTAAATAACCTAACATGTGTAGGCGTTGTGGGTACAAAATTACACCCAAGCAACGGATATAGGTACA